GCCTCAAACCAAATCCACCTAGATCTGGCTGAGCAACTTCTCATTTCTGTCATGTTCTTGATATAACCTCAGCCTGTATTAGATTGTCAAATGCAGTGCTACCTGCATTTGCCATCCTTTCACAATAACAAAAGAGGGGGAGCAGCTACCTGTTTTCCCCTACCAGTCTCAGACCCATTGTGGGATTCCATTCTACCGCTATTCAGTATTATCCAGGAAAACCAAAGTAAGCTTTGGTAATGGAATCACAGAACACTCCTCCCTTATCAATTACCTGCTCTGTCTTAGGGATTTATTATGTTTTGCTTTATGGTAATGGGCTTTCTTGCTTTTGGTGGGAATGACACTCTGTTGGAAGACAGAGAATGTGGAAAAAAAACCCACAACCCCAAACCCTGTCTCACATCTGCTGTTGCCTGGTCCCAGACACAAAGGACTTCCTATCAGATGTTAAGTGCATTTCCAATTTATAGTTTTTTTAGGATCCTTAACTTGTATTTCTTGAAGGTCTTGTCTCAGTGGGGTTCTGGTACACTACTAGAATATAATGTATGCAGAATCACATACTGTTTGCAACCAGTCTGGTTTTACTTCGTGGTCTTCTTTTCACCTTGTTGATGTTCCATTTACTTGGACACTTCTACCCATTTGATAAGTCCATTTACTTTGACACTTCTACCCACTTGGTAAATTTCTCCCTCTATGAAAAAGTAGTTCTTGTGTAACCTCTTCTGCAAGCTTTCTAGGGGCTATGTTTATTAGACTCAGTTTTGAACCACAGGACATTATTCTTTTGTACCAGATGAGACTTCGTGCTAACTCAAAGCAAACTTCCCAGGTCTCTTACTCTGGTGCACTTCAGTTATACTACTGGTTGAGGATGGTGCATTTTAGCCTAAGATGCACCGGAAAGCCGCTTTCATTGCTTCCATCAGAGATACACTGCCAGTATGTGTGGTCTCTACAGTCCCAGTGGGCCAAGTTGTCAGTAGACTCTCTCACCAACAGCTGACTTGAAGAATTGCTCTTACCTCAGGAAACCCCCCCTCAGTGGATCTCCAGACCAAGGAAACCATCTGCTTCTGAGACAAAAGGAGCAGGTGTCTTCTCCAATGACAGAAAACCTGACTATAGAAGAGAGATTAGGAGAGAATTCTCCGTGACCAAGCAGACACTATAAATATTGAAGCTATTTCTCCTGTCTGAAACGAAACAGACCTACCTACCCCAACAACTTGGTGCAACATGACCCTATATAGATATAAGAAAGTTTCAGAGTCTTCCCATCTCCTCCTTTCTGCTTTCATTTTGGGAAAGGCTGCTTAGGCAGTTCCATTCCAAGTCACCACTCGCAGTCTCATAATCTGAAACAACAGTATACACAGAATTTCATGGATCAGTCATTCACTTGAAGGTGATACAAGTTTTAAGCAAAATAGTTCAGTACTAGAGAAAATACTTGCCTCATTAAGTAAAACCAAGTCTTATTTTTAGATTCCCCCTTACGTTCCCTTGTGATATTCTCCAATAGGCCTAAGCAGAAATTAATACAGGAAAAAGGATCCAAACTTGGAATTTTCCATCCTGTATTCTTTGAATCGCCTTTGTTTCTTTTAAACAGCAGACACAACAAAATAGAATACTGAAGAATGATGCTCCCATGAGACTTAAAGGAGTAGAATCACGGGAGGTTTCTGCTGAGCAAAGCTCAAGAATAGGAATGTTGCAGCTTCTAAGCTTTCTACTTTCAAACATTTAATAGCTATACAATCTTTTAATTAAAAAAAAAAATTCTTTTGACTTTATTGTTATAATGCAGCATTAAACACCCTGAACAGATGAGTACAAGATGAAAGATTGCTGTAGAAAACTGCATACATTATGATGTCTCAACTTTGCCAGTCAGTAACAAAAAAGCAGAACAATGCCCATTACACTTTTTCCTTAGTAGAAGGTAAAACAGTACCACCCCACTGCTTTTCCAGGGTATCCCCTTGCCTTTTGAGACAGCTACAGAAAGCTGAAGTTGGTACTTTGCAATTACAAAATAGCCAGCTCACACTAAGCCTTCCTTCCTTCCTCCCTCCCTCCCTCACTCCCACACTAGGTTCTTCTACCAGGTTACACATCCACAGTGGTATTTCAGTCAATAGTAAAGCTGCACAAAGGAAAAAAGTCCTTCTTTGAACTTGCTTTACTACAGCTGAATCCTCAGGATAGACAAGGGCTGAATCACAGAAAAATGAGTGGTTTTTTACCCTGGGAGCAGGAGTTTCTTTGACTTTATATGTCAGCTTTCCACAGCCACTACTTGTATGCAACTCACACAGTTTCAAGCTGAAGGTAATACCATATTGTACCAACTGTAAAGATTGTCTGCAGGGTCAGAATACCCAACTGTTGTTTTGTGGGGTTTTTTTTTTAATATCCTTCCATTCATTTTGCATCATCGCTTTAACACACCAGAAAACAATTATCACTCACTCACTTTTAAGCTAGGTCACAGGTCATTCTCTATAATCAACATGCCTACCCAACAGTTTATCTTCTATTCCTACATGGAACATTCATTTAATCCAAGGATCAGCAGTGATCAGAACTAGTAATACTCAAGCATCACTAAAGACAAAAGGAGCACTTACAGACTTTTTGCTTCTGTTAAAAAGAAACGAGTGCTTATGCACATCTGGCTTATCCAGACTATCCTATGCTGGTGGAGCAAGTGGCAACTATAGTTTGTCCAACATAGCAAAGTACCAATCAGCTAAGACTCTACAACTACCTCATCTTTCATTAGCAAAATACTCTGTAAGCCAGTTTACAACGGGAAGCAGGATCCCCAACTGGTCAGGCTGAAGAATGTGCAGGCAAGTATTTCAACAACAGTCATGTATGATTCAGTAGTCTCTCTTTAAAAACAAACTACTTGACTCTTAAGACGAACCCTGGAAAATTCCAAAAAGGTCAGTTGCAGGGTACAGAACTTCATAAAATTCTAGGCATGTTTAATTACCTCAAACCCAGATACACTCTGTTGATAACTAAACATTCCTAAACAGTCCTTACATCTTGTATCTTATTAATCAGAGATCCTATCAGCCGTAAGACATCCCAGTATCAGCAATGAAAACATCACATGTCTACAGCTGAAATCAAGGTCCAAAGCTAAAGAGAAAACTGTAGACTCCGAACGGATTTTAGAGGACTCTCTGTTCCTGAAGTGACAGCTTAAAAACATGTATGCATGTTCATAATAGAATCTTTGGAAGCAAGTTTCATCATGTTTATACTACTGCTCAATAACTGTCTAAAAATTTCCCTTACTATGTAACTAAATTGCCAACCATTCACTTTTAAGAAACACTTTTTATTCTGAGCTCACTTTCTCTTTAGAATGAGTAAGCATTTAAGACAATCAATTTCTTCTCAGGCACAAAATCAGAAATTTTTCACTGGTCCTGAACATCAAGACAGCAGTTACCTAGCAACATAACCAGACGGTCATATTATTTCATACTTTGCTGTTGACAGTTCAACAGAGAGCTACATATCTGCTAAAAGAAAGTATTCACATGACTCTGAATTAGTGGAATACGCTTCTAACAGTAAATATACAAAAGACATTAAGTAATTCTAGACATTTATTTTTCAGTGTACAGTGTCATACATTTAACATAAAGAAATAAGGCCCAAATATCACAAAATATGTATATAGTGTTTGCTAGACAAATACTTTACTAAGAACAAGGCATATTCCAGCCTGTACTTCATGGAGTTACAATGAAGTCCAGGCACATAAACAGGAACACTTTATTTTTTAATGATTTACAACTCTTTTGGCCTGTTTAACAGAAAATGAACCAACTGAAGCAGAACTTCATCATTAAAGCCTTTCACACTACCATTTTCCACAACATCATACAATGGCTTACTATCTGTACCCCAACAGATATTCTTCCGAGGGTTATTTTGAATAGTTTCTACAGTTAGTGCTAAAGTATTTAGCTGGTAACAAAAGAAAGCAAAGTATTTTCCATCAGTCACTACTGCCTGTGATACAAAAGGACGGGTCACATCTGCTTCATTCCAGAATCCTACGAAATAAAGAAACAACACTAGTTACACAGGACTTGAAATTCCTATCAGCACACACATCTAAACCTCAATCCTGAAATGCAGAACAACATTGGGAATTGCAGCAGCCACTTAGTAGGGGAAAAACTGCTGTCTGCTTTAGCAACACAAGCATTCTTCATACAGACTAACTAAAATGCAACCACCAATTAAGGATACTTCCAAGATCAGGGACACAGTGACATATGTGCATTTAGTACACGGTTTCCTACTGCTGACTGATACAAACCCTGCACTGATCAGCCAAGTGACTTTTCGAAATTACGAAAGTTACTAACACATCCAAGTCGTGCAAGTGATCTGAGGGGAAATGTCTTTCAGCAATTCCACGCTTCTCACAGGGCAGTGAACATTTGTTTCATGACAGAGGCATGCATGTGTATGCATGAGCATAACTGACTATAGCAACCAGCCAGAGAACACCAAGCACGCTATATCAATAAAGTATTAATGCTTCAAACAAGCCCTGCTGAGCATTAACAGTTTTTAAAAAAATTTCTTTACATATTTATGCATGTGTCCTAGCACACACAGTAATATTCTTAAAAGATATTTGGTATCATGTGCAATGAACACCGCTAGAAACTGTTACAGAACAAAGAAAAAACTTCATAGATTTGAATCATGCTGTCCTTATAACTCATAATGTGCTTACAACTGTAACCAGCTTTGAAGCCAAAACTTACTTGGCTTCAATGTTTTATGTTCACAAAGCAAGTCAAGCTTTCTAACATTTCATTACACAAAAAATTTGATGCAGAGCCAGCAATACACATCACAGTCAAAGGATTTTCTTTCACATGTTGTTTCACAAGTGAAACTACAAACCAGGTATCTTCTAGTAACACAAGATAACAATTATATTTACATAAATAAGCAAAGACTGATCTCATCTGTCTATCCATCCAGGTCTTCTAGGATTTTTAGACAAACACAGGCATAAAATCCTAAAGTAAGGCTGCTGACATTTTGCTTTCACTGACTGTAATTTCATAGAATGGACATTTCTGAAACAAAGGGCTAAGCAACACAGTTGTTTCAGAAAAAAAAAAATTAAAAATTAAACTGTTCAGTATCTACCACCTTTGCCCATAACAAATGTGGAGTGAGCAAGTGAATGCAGGATTGAGGGTTTTGCACAGGCTTAGCTTTATATGTGAAAAAGTATTTTTCTGCATAATTAATTCTCCCTAAGTGAAAGTACTAAAAGTCTTAACTAACTCCCTTGCACAAGGTCTGCTTCATTGGATAGTCTTCAGAAGAAAAAGCATGAGAAAAAGGTGGCAGGGACAAAATGTTAGAGAACTTTACAGTAGGCATTCATCATGAGGAAGAATTTATCAAATTGACTCTCTCACCTTGATACATTGCTTGTGCTGCTGTCCAGGCAAAGAGACTTGCAATACCATTAGCTCGATAAACAACTTCAATCTGATCCTCAAGATTTGCTCTTATAAACCTCTTCCGGTTTAGCTTATCAGGAATAAGATGAAACTGGGTGTGTCCATAACAGCATGGATCTGCTACCTTTGATCCTGTGTTCCCCAAAAAGAAAAAAATTAAGAGCATTCTCTGACTGACTCTTAATTACACATACAAACACAACATTACTATCAGACTCCAAACAACAGAAGGTTAAAACCTCTATTGTAGGTCTGTATAAATGTTGAGATTCCTCCATTTCTGGGTGAGACTGGAGGTCTTGCCCAGCTCTAAAAGGCAAGAGTTCACATACTAAAATGGCTCTGAGGAGATGTATCAAAATTCAAAGTCAGTTTTCTGCCGATTTTCTATTCGACCCAACTCCTTCAAGTGAATCTGGACACAGACTACTATATGCATAGGACGATGCTACTCCCCAATGCCTAACTGACATGGAATCTCAACAGAAATTTAAATACTATATATATTTATACAGTATAGTTATATATAAAAATATTCAAATTTTTTTTCTGTTGATGGGAGAGGAAAGGTCAGAGGGGTGGTGTTCGTTTTGGGGTTGGGGGTTTTTTTGTTGTTTTGGGTTTTTACGCAAAAAAAGTAGTTAACATTTCATGACTAGAAAGTCTTACCTATAAATACCTTGTTTTCGTACTGCTTTTTGAACAACGGCAGTTTGGATGGTTTGTGATCAATAACTGGAACATCTCCAAGATCTGATTCCAGCGGTACAATCTTGAAGAAAGTAGAAGAAAAGCCATTGACGTAAGTCATGTTTCTGACATCAAGCCTCACATAAAATGCCACTTTCTGGTCAGACAGAAGGTGTATGTAAGCTAGACTTGCACCATATATATAACTTTAACTGAAATTAATTTTTTGCAACACAATTTCTTGTCTTGTGATGAGTGCTAGTACGTGCATCTTATATTGATATCTGAATTTTCTGCAATACACAAAAAACACTGTGTGAAATGGAACTAACAAAGCTGCCAATTGGTACTATCTTCAAAACCAGAACCTGCTTCTGTAGAAGACAGGCAAAAACATTTCTAGCAGCAGTCAATAAACTAACTTGAACCAGCAGAGTGAGTTTACAGGTATTCAGTGTTTTGCACTATGTAACGTTTTGATTGCCTAGACAGTTCTTCCAAAATGCCAAGGTTTTTAACATCTAACGGTACTAACCTAAGCAAATTGTACAACTAAGTTAGCAAGAAATGTACAGCATTACAGAAAGTGAGCACAGTTTTCTGGTTTTGGTGGAAACTGGTCAACAGAAAACTTCAGAGGCTACAAAATTACCTTTGTATAAACCTGGAAGAAAAAGATTAGAATACTGAATCAGCTTCCACAAAACTGAGCATTCAAGAAAACAACTGTTAAGCAGTACTAACAGGTAACAGAGCTCACATTCAGATTATATGTGCTCTCTCTTACTCCACTTTTTTCTTCTCTGTTTCTCTCATCTTATCCTCTACTGAGGACAGAACGTTTCACACCACACTTCTTATTCTTGCCTCCACTTACAAGCATTAAATAAGTTAAAAACTCCATTTAATTAAGTGTAACAACATGCATTTTATCTAAAGCACAAAGATGACCAACTTGAAGTTCAGAAGAGTGTCTCAAGATCTACAAAGCACTTACACCACGACAAGGTAGTAAGGGCATTAAGACTTGAAAACTGCACAAATGTTTCACATGCCTGATTAAGCAGGTCCTCCACATACTACCTATTGCATGGTTTCAGTGGCTGTCAGAAACATGAGTGAAAATGCACACAATTAACTTGCTGTTGAAAATATCCACACCTCTGGAAGTTGCTTTGGTACACGGATCTGGAGGTGCGGCTTATCATCTATCTGAAATCGCACAGGATCAACTCTACCCTTTCGATGTCCATGAACAACAACTTCCTCACCATGATGCCAGTAATAGTGAACTTCAGGTTTTAGATCTGAAACAGAAGAGAGGATTAGAGAGAAATAGAGATCACCCCTTTGCATTTAAAACCCTCCCAATTCTTGTTGTGTAGCTGCAGTAAAACGGAAAAATCAAAGTCCACTCGCACCACGTAGGACTATGGAGATGAGATTAATTACTAGTGACGGTCTGAACAACTCCGCTACACCAGCGACACTCCTGCCGTGTTCACAGACCAGGCCCACCACCCAAGGGCTCCCACTCCCCTCTCCCACCCATCCCCGTTCCACACCAAGGGAGGAGGCAGCCAGCAGTGGGTTGCGACCGCACAGGGACGCGGCGAGAGTGGAGACGAGCTGCGTAAGGAACGGGCCGGGCGTGTGATCCTGATCGCGGTAGAGGAACGGCCGCTTCTTGTTCTGGTAGAAGCTCTCCTGCAGGAGGGCATCGCAGGCGAGCGACCGCAGCTCGCCCATATCCAGGCATGGCGCCTCTGCCGCCGCGGGCTCTGGGGTTTTCGCAGCGGCCGGTGCCGCCGTTCCCGGCTCCGGGGCTTCGGCGGCCTCGGGTGCCACTGCCGCCGCCGGCTCCGGGGCCTTCGCGGCCTCCGGCACCATCACTCCCGGGGCCTTCACGGCTGCCGGCGCCGCTCTCGGGGGGAGCCCCGGCAAGAAGACGGTCTTGGTGAAGCTCCGGTACCAGCGGTCGGCGTTGAGGGCGAAGGTCTGCGGGTAAACCATGTACTTGGGCCGCTGCCGCTGCCCGTAGAGCCGCAGCTTCTCCTCGACCGAGGCCGCCGCGTGCACCCGCTGGTGGAAATGCTCCAGGCGCCGCCGCTTGGCCGCTTTGCTCTTCGCCGTCGCGGAAGCCACTACGGGCGGGTAGAGCGAGTCGGCAGGCTGCGGGGGGGCAGCGGACTCCGTCTGCGAGAACCAGCACCGGCCCTGCCACAGCAGCCGCCGCCCCCTGGACGCCGCCATTTCGCAGGGCTGCAAGGCAGCGGAAGGGCGGCCGTCAGCAACTGGAAAATCTGATTGGTCACTGGGAACCACGTGACTGAGCCAACCTTCCAAACGGCAGGCTCCTCTGAGAGAGAGTGCTGCCGGGACAGAAAGAGGCGGGCCCCTGGGGGAATCGTGTGACTGGAAGGCCCCGCTCTCCCCTGCAGCGCGGCGCAGCTTCTGCGCATGCGCTACAGATGCCCCACCGCCTCTGCGGGGACGAGAACTACAGCTCCCAGGATGCACAGCGGGAGGCGGCCCGGAAGTGCCGCGCCTCGCGACGGCTTCCTGTCGCCGTGCCCTGCCCGGCGCTGTGGATGGCGCCGCTCCGTGAAGGGGCGGCTTGGCCCGGCCCGGGCCCGTCCCTGCTCCCTGGCACCAGTCCACACGTCAGAGGGAGGCCCAGATCTCACACCGGATGGCTGTGTTGCACAGAGAAGGAGCCCTTACCTGCTTTCGATAAGACGGCATTTTTGAACCAATTCTCTACGTGCTCGTCTTCAGGACATAATTACAGACACAGACACACCCACCCACCCACCCCCCGCTGGTTTGACAGACCGCCCACTCAATCTAAGTGACAGGTATAAATCCTCTCTAAAATAAAAAAAATAGATTGAACCTTTCCTGTACCAAACCCCTACTGAGGACAAAGGATTTTGTACAAACCAAGAACTGTAGCAGAAAGATGAGATAATTTATTGACAAAATGTGGACATTTGAACATGCATGACTCGGCCCAGGGCATGAGGAGCACAAGCCAGCCTGATTGCATGCATCTGTTAACGTAACTCCGTTATACTGCGGGAAAGACTCATTTTTACAGGGTAGTGGGTACCCACAGCACTGTGTGTAAACTAACAGCTTGCTGGAAACTGTAAAACCTATGAAGCTGGCTTTAAGAAAGAAATTCAACTCTGCTAAAATATGATCTGTTATGGTGTTTGTTTATGAAACTGGAAATAAGCTAAAACTGGCATACTGACACTGCAAGAAGTGCTACAGTGAGTGCATTTTTATGTTTGAGATACTTGGAAAAGTTGAGGGTATTTGGTGGACAGATGAAGCTTACTATTTATTATTCTTAAAAGTTTTCTTCTTTCTTTTTTTTTTTTTTAACTTGATCACTCGCAGTATTCTGGGAAGATGGTTTTTTTCTGTATTTCCATGACATTTCTGTGTTGTCTGAACTGTCTGAAACATTCAGACTGACTAGGGGTGGGAGAGGAAATTATGAGTGGAATTGGGACAGGAGACACATTATATACATCCCAGATAATCTGCTCCCTTTCATTAACTTCAGCTTAGCTTTCTGCTGAATTGATGTTCAGAGCTACAGTGGTATTTGGAGCAATTTTTGGAATACATGACGAAGGTTGAAACCCCATGTTCAGGCTGACATTTTCAAGGAACATAGAATATAAAACCATTGTCTTCTTTAAGAGGAAATAAAATATAGATTAAAATACTGCTAATGCATAGGTAAACAAAAGCTGCCCTTTAGTTAAGATTCACAGGGTATTGTATAAAAGACAGATTTAAATGCTAAGTTGCAACTCAGTTAAGTAGTGAGTATTTAAACTTTGGATGTTTAATTTTGAATCCAGTCACTGTCTTCACCAGGATGAAAGGACAAGGCCTTAGATCAGATGACTGACCATTTAAGGAGCAACCTCCCTCCTTTTCCTTATCTCACATACTACAGTCTCCCAGTGCATCTGGAAGCCCGTTTTTCCTTTGATTGACAAAAGGCACTGGCCATATATGCCCAAGGTAAAGCTATTGAATCTCTTCCCTTGTGTTCACAGCCAGCAATGTCATAAACTTACACAAACATTATGGAAGATTACCATTACTGTTCTTGGGCATTTTGCTGCCTCATCTCCTGTTTCAAAATTTGTTTCATCTGGTAGTTAGGAATATTCTTCTCATTTCATGCTTAAATGTATTCATGGTCAATTTATACCTGCTTGTTGTTGTGCCAACATTGTCCTTTAGTTTAATTAGCTTTGCTTCCTCTCCAATGTTTGCCTGCTAAAATATTGATGGAGACCAGTCATATCACCTCTCGGTCCTCATTGACAGAAACTAAACAAGCTCTTCTCACGCAGACACGTCTCTATTTCCTTGATCATCTTAACAGCCCTTTCTTGCATTTCCTCCAGTTTTGCATTTGTCTCAGGGATATGTGACCAGACTGTACCCATTATTTCATACAAGGGAAATTACGTACACCAGGATTACTAATATTTTACCACTGTTAAAAACCTTTTTCATTATGTTGTCAAATCAGAATTGCCTGCCTTGTGATTGTACAACACCGTGAACACTTTTGCATAGGGTATTTTGAACCCTTTTGCATAGGATATTTTAAACCCTCAGGAAGTTCAATACAGAAACTGAATATAAGTGATGAAGTAAGTGAATGTTTAAAGGATCATTTTTATTTTCCCTACTTTATTCAAAGTCTTTAAATGTTTCTTGCAGGCTGATACTGACTATAACATTAGATAAGAGGTGTCAAGAACCAGTGGTATGCTTTAACCTACACTTAAAATCCCTGAACTATCTACTGATATCCTGGTCACAGTTCAATTTTATTTGCTTGGTGTACATTGTAGTATCATTCATCTTGATGTAAGAGGTGCAAGGACTTGGATAAAAGATAGACAGTCTGGTTGCCAATAGACAGTCTGGTTAAAGGTACTGGCATGCTTTGCTGACAGTTCCATCATAAGCTTTTGGTAAAAATGTATTATCCAGCCATAGATGTCTCAGTTTGAAAAATCAAACTGACAGTTCAAAAAAGATCAATTTTCCTTCTTTACTGAGATAATCCACAATATCCAAATTATCCAAAATTTATAAACCCAGAGCATCTTTGTGTTGGTTAAATGAATGCTTAAAAAGAGCCTGGATTAGAAAACTCACACCCTGCCTAAAATGTTCAATACAAATGCTAAAGAGAATGCCATAGCCTCAAAATAAATCTAAAATTGAAACTAGAAAAAAACCCTGCATTTCAGTTCCAACATGAAGGTCATTGGAGAGGGTTAGTTTGAAGCCCAAAAGTAGTTCAGAAACTAGTGCACTTCACCTTATTGAACCTGCTCTATGGGGAGGAATGACACAGAAATTACTCTGCCTCTGAAACTCTGAGACAAAGTACGTTAAAAGTACTCACTCAGAGGTGAGATTGCATAGACATTAATTACTGGGCAGGGTTGGTATTTCCTATATACAAGTGTAGAAACTGCTTAAGTGCACACAATTCTTCAGTAACACTCACCAGAAGTGCAGGCACAGCCCAAATGGGATCACAGGGATCACATAATGAAGGCATATCTTATCCAAGGCTCAGAAGGAGGTGTGAGGTCTGAGTCTGCTTCACCTGGCCATGGCAGGATTGCTCTGTGTCCCATAGGAGTCACTGCTGGATCTCCAGCCTCTGGGAAAGGATTCAGCCCTCACACCTGCTAAGCTGTTTCTTCCATACCTGTGTCTTGGTGGTGGCACCATGCACCTTATCTGTCTCTTATTTTAGAAGGCAGAGAAAGGAGGTAACGGTGAGATTGAAGCCCTTCAAATTATGAAACTTCAAAAGGGAGCCACAAGCTAAACATGGGTTTTGTTGTAGGCCAAGTAACAAAAGATACTGTAGTCATAGAGCAGTGATGGCAGACCCTTGGCACATCTGAGGGCATGCTGAGAATTGGTGATGTTTCATTCCAGTTCTCTTAGAAAGGCAGTCCAAAGGTACACCAGAAAACAGGTTAGAAATCAGGTCTGGAAAGTTCATAGTGAAAAGAGTCTCTAGAGGTGTGAAAAACAAAGTTACTAATGAATACCAAGTATTCCTCATGTAATAGTATCTCAAGAACTCAGAGGAAGACTGAAGCTCCATTGTACTAAACATCACATCCTACGCCTGCATAATAAATAAAGTGGTTCTTCATTTTGTAATGTACTTCTCAGTATGTTGAAGAGAGGACCAACACTCTACTCTTAGGTTAGTGGTGCAAGGCAGACAACATGCCTTTCAAATTATTCTTCTAGCCAATTCAGTTTTATTTTAAAATTTCTGCAGAAGCTACAGTCAGCCAATGTTTCTCTTAATCTGGGGACAGATTTTAGACGAGGCATATCCCTTCTTCTTGGTCCTCATCTTGGAGGATGAGAACCAGATTTCAACCAAACAGGAATATCTCCAGATTTAATTGGTTAAGGTTTAATTCCCTACCAAGCCATATGTTATGTTTGTGACTCAGGGCTAGGTCCAGCAAAGAATTTTTGCCTTACCCTCTCCTGCCTGCCTAAATGTCTGACTAGTAATGGAACTTGCCTTTTTATTGCCAAAGTTAATAGACTAACCCAAAGTGTATGGGGTATTTCAAAACTGGAAGGAATAGATCTCTCCAGAAGATCTTTTCACCCTCTTATTGGCCCAGCTCTCTTTAGAAGTAATTTTAAAAGTTTAAATGTTCATTATTTTTCAGAGCAAGCTTGATATTGGGTATTCACTGGAGAAAAAGACAATGTCATATTCATACTTCAGTGTCTCTCTCTGGCTAAAGAGAGGGTGTCATCTTATTCCCACCTGTTTCATATGAGATGTCTATGTTTACAGATTTTTTGTTTTATGTACGATTTACAGCATTTGCCAGCATAGGTAACAGAAGTGGGACTGCATGCTCCATGTAAAATTCCACATACTGCAATACTGCAATAGACACAATATTAACTGTTGAAAAGATGTTCATTATTTTATAACCTATGTCCTTAGCTTATTTTAAAACATATTATATGTTACAACAACAGCTGCCAGTTGATAATTTAAAGCAACTCGTAGCATAGATATATGCAGTAGGGAAAAGCCATTATAATCTTTACTAATTGAAATTGTGGACAAAAGCATGTTTCTTATAAGATTTCCAAATATCTTTATAGGCATATAAAATGTATATGGCAGGCTGAAGTCTTCCACTGTGCATCCTTCAAAATCAAA